GTGTATGCCACACCACATCTCCCTTGGGAGAGTGACGGGTCATTCTCATGTAACCCCGTTACACTACAAGCGTTCTTATCCACCGGCTATGCATTGTTGGAACTGGCTGTTTATTGTTGCCCCCTCCTACGACGAAATTGTTAGCAATTTGCGCAGTAGCTGCGCTGCATCTCTTTTTGAAGAAAGCAATTTCTATCAAGATATTTCTGCTTTTTCAACATTGTCATTTGCTAGTTGTGAGGAATAATCTACATGAGCTGCATGCATCACACCATACAATCAGTTTTTTCGCCTGGATTGCATGCTGGCCAATATGCTCAAGCTTCATATGCGCAAGCATAATTTAGATATCGCAGTTGTACTTACGACTCAAGCTGGCAATTTTAATCCGTTCTTCCAACCTTATTAATCAATACAAAGCATATCATGCGCGACCAGAAATAAATCATCTTTAATGCTAGTTCTAACAAATTTTCTTAAAAGAAAGCTTAAAAATCAGCTTATTCGACCAGTAAATGAAATATTTGCAATATTGCATGTGTGTAACTTTAGAAATATTAAATATCACGCTTGTGAGCATCTACTATAATAATTCCTGTGTCAATGAGCAATCACGAAGACGGCGAGATTTTGGAGGAGGGCGAGGAAGTGGAAGATATCGTAAATTCCTGCTCAAATGATACTTCTTCATCAATACCTACGTCAGCGGCTATAAATCGCGTCATACAGCCTCCACCATTTGCTGCCACGCTTCCTCTCGCCTCTAGATGTCAGAATCCGCGCAAACGTTTGCACTCGTCGTTACAGAATGGCAACCACACTGAAACAGCCTCAATATACGACAAACGTACACCACTCTCACACCACCAAAAAGGTCGCTATAACAATCACAGAAGTAGTAGCTACAGACGCGATGTCTCGTCAAACGATGATCGTGTATACGATGAAGATTTGATCATCAAACACCCTCGGCAACAGCCTTGCAGTAATGTACTACTAAATTTTGCCACATGGATGGGCAGTGCAAATCGCTTGGACATCGAGGACGTTCAAAGTATTATACTGAATGTCCTTCGTGGTGATAGCAGTAGCCTGGAAGGTGTGGTGAGCCCATATTTGCTGCCATATTTGACACCTCGAGCTCGTTTGCCAAGCAAAGTATGTGTCATTTTAATTCAAAAGATGCATCCATCAGTGTTGCAGAAATACCGATCCAAGTTAAATTTCTTTGACCAGTGTTCAAGCATGCCAGTAGTACTCAAAAAACATGACTCTACTCAGATAAGACGGTCGGAAGCACCATTACCAGAGCTTCTTTATACTTTTCCAAAGCCGACAGTGGATACACATGAGCTATCAACAGACGAGCTTTATTATGCACACGAATTAACCTTTTTGATGAAACATTCAGCTGGATTTACAGATGAACTTGTCTTCAATCCAACAGGAACATTTACACGTCGAAGTCAACCAATTGGGGGAACTTGGGTTCTAGATGGTGATTTGTTACATCTCAAATGGAGACAGCGCACAATGAATGTGGCACTAGACATAAATGCGACAATGAAAGGTGCGGATACTGCGATGGACGAGGTAGAAGATGATGCATACACGTTAGATGTGCTTGTTAGCCAAGATGAAAGCATGCACGAATTTAGAACCGACAAAGTCACGGATGAGACATACGCGCGCGAGGTTCCAGAACATTTGGCCAAGAAAAGTCGGAATGACAAGCCACGGTCCATTTGGCTCTCCCTTGCAAAAGCTATTGCTATCGACGTACCTCGCTCGGTGGATGGTTCACTAATTTTGCAAAAGAAAAAAGTAAGTGTTCAAACAACGTTAGGCACGGAAACAAGTAGCAAAGTTGCGAAAGAGGAGGAACTTTTGACTCGGGAAGCATTCGAGTATTATTTGCTTTCACGTGAAGAATTGGTACAGCATGGATTTCCGATATATGTGGAAGAAGAACAACGCAGATTAGTTGAAGCGACTAAGGGAGGAACTCGCGACAATTATGTTGCAACGAAGCCGCGACCGACTATTCCGGTTGATGATTCTTCAGCGTTCGATAAAATTGATCTGATGGAAACTGAGGAAGTTTTTACAAAAAAGTCATTACGTGATGATTTCGTTTATGCACTGGACTGTGAAATGTGCGAAACGGATCTTGGTATGGAATTGACGCGTGTGACAGTTGTCGATATTAGAGGTACTGTAGTCTACGATCAGCTAGTGAAACCACAGAGCACCATTTTAAATTATCACACGGAGTTTAGCGGCATTTCTGAAGAAACATTGCGAGAAACTAAATACATTTTAGCTGATGTACAGCGGGATCTGACAACACAGTATCTCTTTGAGGATACAATTCTTGTGGGACACTCATTGACGAGCGATCTACGCGCTCTTCGCTTAGTGCATCTGACGATTGGAGACACGGCTATTTTGTACCCTCATCAACGCGGGTTTCCCTTCCGTACATCGCTGAAGTTTCTTACCAAGACGTATCTTAAGAAAGATATTCAAATGCAGATCCAGACTGGACACGACTCGGCTGAAGACGCAATTGCATCATTAGAGCTGCTCCTGCTTAAGATTCGTAATGGACCTTGGTTTGGCATCCCAAGTGTAGTCGCTTCAAGCTGTGCTTTTGATTCCATTGTTGATAAAGTTTCTGCTTTAGACAAGTCAATGAAAATGCTTCGACTGCGTAGCCACGATGAAATCGTGAATGGTGCTCGTCAAACAAAACGAAAACCGTGGGATTTATTCGCCAGTGGTGACTTTAAAATTCAATCCCAGAGCCCATTTTGTCATGCTCATTTGGTGGAGGCCAAGGACAAAACCGGTGCTTCCAAAACGGTGGCAAATGCTCTTAAAAAGATTGATACTTGTGAGTCTTTGGAGGAATTGAAAAATAGTATTCAAATTGTCATGGATGCTCAGCCAAGTGAGCAGCCAGACCTCTGTTGGGTGGAGATTGAACCTCCTAGAGTTAGCACAACGCAATACAACGATTTTGTTGGAAATCATGAGCTTTGGATGGGAGAACAGCAAGCTTATTGTGAGCAAGTCAATGCTTTTATGCAGCAGGTTCGTGACGAGGTACTACCAAAGGATATGCTGCTGCTTGTACTTCCTCAAGGAGATTTAAGCTTATTACGATATCTCAAGGGCCTACAAACGCGTTCTAAATGGCGTGATGCCACCCCCACCAACGACGATGCTCCAGAAGAGCTGCACGCTGCGGTCGGCGATGCATTCCGTGGTGCCATGGAAAGCTGCCTGTTTCTCATGCAGAATCGATAAGAATACTCCAGAATGCTCACACTATCTTTTGGATAAAGTTGTCACGGGATGGAGTATAAAGCATGTGCAAGGTGCATTTTGGTTGATATTCTGGCAGGTTAAAGCTTAACGTAACTACTTTTGGCTTAAAAGTTCAAGTAGTTGTGGATAGTTTTTCGAAAGGATATGCGACCGAGCTTGGACCTGCTTCAAATTGATGCTTTTTCGGAGCATCAATTTTACCGAAAGGGTGACGTCATATTGTGGAATGCGGCATACTCATTCCTCAGCTGTTTTCAAATGCGTGCTTTGTTCGGGCAGTCACTGTTGCACGACTTTAGAACACATAATCCAAGTAATATTGTGAATGCCTTCAGCAATAGATCATGTCATTTTTAATGCTTATCATTAGTAAAGTCTTGCCTTCTTCAAATGAGCAAAACGCAAAAGATTTTCGTTTTGTCGCCAACGATTACCGCTGTGAGACCGTCTAATATGACGAGACTTCGTCAATTGATTATGAACACAAAGTTATTGAAGTCGATAACGTACATCCCCAGCAATTTCGATCCGAAAACTTTTGATCAAGTTCCAGCCAAAAGGTGTCAAGGCGCTGCATAAGTGGGTGCCGTCGAAAGTGTGGTGGAAATGTGTTTTACTTTAATGGGCATGTACCATGTTGTAGTGCACGTACACCTTTCAAAATATACTGCTCATCAGACTTAGCATCAAACTAAGAAAAACTCGGTACAAAAAGCATTACTACAAGAATTGGTACGGATAAGAGAAGTGGTTTGTCAGAAAGAGAAGTTCGTTGTTCACGTGGGCCGCTCTCTTTGCACTACGTAGTCCATTGACCTTTACGCTGTAGCTAGTCAACAATATATTGTTGGTACTAATCAATGCTAGTTATATGTCATTCATTAAAAAAAGTGGTAGAAAGTTAAAGGCTCTTGGTCACGCTTCTGGGTGAAACATACAACTCATAGTCCGTACGTTCGTGAGCGTGATTTGTAAAGTTTTTCTGTATAGCTACTTCGTTGCACTTGGTAGCGCTTGTTGTCACTACGTGTAGTCTCTTGTGCTGTTCAATGCAAATGCAGTAGTGTTTCATTCGCTCTCTCTCCCTATGTGGGCTACGGAACGTGACTCTTCGCAACCGGCGGTTCTTGCGGACCGCTTCCACGAAGTGGTTACCCACTGTAGGGTGTTGGCAAGTCTGATACCTGGATATCCGTCCACACTTCCCCCAAGACTTGACTACACAGCTTCATGCTCGAACTCTTCATT